TCCTCAGACTCTTGTCCTATGCGAACATTAACACAATCTTCTGATAATGTCAGAGTCTCTCCCTAGTTTCTTACTGTTTGAGCTCTGCCTCAATGGCCATTCAAGAGGGAAAAGACAAGTCAGAAAATGCTGAGCTGGAGACAACACTGCCTTCCTGTTCTACCATCTCCTTGGGACTACCATGGGTCACCTGTGAATTTGTTTCAACACATTCTTCTCTTCCTGGACAACACAGCCAGCTGTCAGAGCACTTACTTTCTTCCCCCTTCTCAGGGTTCTGTAACCTCTCTTTGATCAGTGTGATATATGCATGATGGTTCCACTTGATGCACATAAAGAGTGACCATACACAAACTTGCATTAGAAGTGATCACACCATGAAATCATGAAAGATGAGATGCACAGATGCCTGCTTCCATCTCAAACTCTCTAATGTCGGCCATTACTGGTGAAGAGCCCTTTGGTCCCACAGTTTTTTATCAAGCATGTATTAATAGCTTTCTCAAATGGTAGAGACCAATTAAATATCTGTATAATTATTAGCATTTACATACAAAAAGTTTCCATTCCTTAAAACATGAAGTGGCTGGGCAGGAGGTGAGCAATAATGGCATTCGGGTCCTGCACATTACTTAACAGCAAACTAGTGAATCAACACCAAGGGAGCCAAAGGTTTCCAGGACAACCATCAGTCAGCAGCCAGTCCCATTCCAGGCTGTATACAGACCCTAGGCAAGTCAATTCCTAATTTGTCCTTTGTGCAGCTAAGAAAGGTATTATTCTTTCAATTTCTACTTTTAAATAGAAAGTTCTCCCTACTTCAACACTGATTTTCACTATTTATCCTTCTAACTTTAAATTCTCCATGCAACCCAATGCTCAGTATTTTGCTACCTAGATCTTATCAAATTATCCCTTTAACTTGTTTCTACTTATTTATAGAGATCGGCTCTTCCCCAGGTAATGTACAATTATAAAAGCCCTCTCAACTATCTCCTACCTTCGAAGTTTGGCCACTAAAGCTGGCAATACTTAGCTTTGGAGAAAATACATTTTTATTAAAATTTCACTTCTTATAAAATTCCTTCACAGAGCTGCGCAATGGTGGTGCATGCCTTTAGACCGAGTACTAGGGAGGCAGAGGCAGGCAAATCTCTGAGTTCGAGGTCAGCATGGCTCATAGAGAGAGTTCCAGGACAGCCAGGGCTACACAGAGAAACCCTGTCTCCAAAACAAAACCAAAACCCAAAAGAAAAAACATGCATAAAAAAAACAACAACAATAAACTCCTTCACAGAAATCTTCTGTTTTGTACACAACCAGAACATAGCAAAATTACAAAATTACATAGTTATATGAAAGTCAGATGTGGTGGCTCATGCCTTTAATCCAAGCATCCCAGCACTAGGAGGCAGAGACGGGTGGATCTCTGTGAATTTGCTCAGCCTAGTCTACATAGGTCAGTGCTACATAGTGAGACCCTGTCTCAAAACAAAACAACAAAAACCTGACTCAGGTTTTATTAAAAACAACAACAACAACACAGCCAGGCAGTGGTGGTGCACACCTTTACTCCCAGCACTCAGGAGGCAGAGGCAGGTGGATCTCTGTGAGTTGGAGGCCCCCCTGGTCTACAAGAGCTAGTTCCAGGACTATACAGAGAAACCCTATCTTGAAAAACAAAAATAAATAAATAAAAAAGATAAAACAAAACTAAACAAAAACTCCATAATCATACAAAGACTGGTTGGAAATGTGCATCAGAGTCCTTTTGACACAGGTGTAAATTAGGAGTCTGGTCAGGCAGCGGTGGCGCACGCCTTTAATCCCAGCACTCAGGAGGCAGAGGCAAACGGATCTCTGTGAGTTCCAGGACAGCTAGAGTTGTTACATAGAGAAACTCTGTCTGGAAAAACAAACAAAGCGATCAATCTTCTCTTCTAAACTACTTGTTCAGACAAAGAAGAGGGCAGAGGGTTGAGGCTAGTCAAATAAGAACCAAATACACTCGAAACCACAAACTCTTACAGCTGGATTCTATTGAAGACTGTAAGCACCTGAAACTTTTTTTCTGTTAAAGAAAAACTGGGATTGGGCAACTAAAGAGAAACTTCTTTTAAGGTTAGCCACCTACATGCTATGTACCTCCTGTTTTTACACAACGAACAGATTGCATGTACTGCACAGGGTCTCTGGGAGGCGTCTATGGAATAACAAGAACCCTCTCTGCTTATGTGCTTTCTATTCTGGAGATTTAAAATAACATTAAAGTGACTTGGAGGAAGCCTGTGAAATGTGGTCCTCAACTCAGAAACGGGTCTATGGGATAATTTGTAGATGCCATCTGGGATCCAGGCAGCCTCATCAACAAAAGGGAAACTTGTTGAGATCATCCAAATCTAAAATTCACATACATTTTTACATCTGGACTGAATTAATCTTTTCTTGGTACTGGCTTTCATGTAATAAAGTAATTGTTTGCAGGTTTCATTAAACACACACACACACACACACACACACACACACACACAGCTTTAGAAATCAAAATGTATAACATCCAAGTTGAAAACTACAAAGAATTCCTTTATCAGAGAGTTCTCTGTGAGGCAGGAGTCATTTACACAAAACTTAAACCTGACGGCTCAGTCAAAAACAATTCTACTTGAAACTTGCATTCCAAGCAACTGCCACAAAAGGCTACACAGCCCATTATGTCATGAGTTCTGAAAGCCAAAAGCTCTATAAGCATAGTTAAATGTGGAATGGTCTACAACAGCCCCCAATTCAGCCAGCCCAGTTGAATGACAGATTTTTAAAAACCTATAGTGCACAGGCATGTTGTCTTAAAGACAGGGCCTCACACCTGCCCAGGTTGCTTTCAGACACTTTCCTGTAAAGCTAGGGGTATCTTACCTCTCCATGCTAAGACTGTGTACTTGAAGCTGCTGTCTTGCCCGTTAGCCCCCAACAGGAAGGGATGAAGAAGACAGAAAGATTTCCTGTGCCAAAATGTTTTGAGCCCTGCCAGAACTGCCCATTAGTGTGGCCCAACAGCGTGAGATCACAGGTATTCTGCAAGCAACTCAAACCCAGTGGGGGAAGAATTCTTCTTACAGCCAGTCCACTTTCTGGAGAAGATATCCTGCAGATAACTTGATACCGGATAGCCCCTACGATCTCCCTCCATCTAATAATCCTACCAAAGGTCTACTTTACTATAAAATATGAAGTCGGTCTATTTACAAAAAAAAAAAACACATTTCAATGTCAACTGCCCCCAATTGTGGAGTGCTCTCATTTTTAGTGGAAAACTGTCATTTCTCAAAACTACACCCACGGAAAATGATTAGGTGCTAGAAGTTTTACTACAAAGGACTGAGCAAAAGGCATCTGTTTCCCTGGCCCTTTCTGCTCTCTTCCCCTCCCCCATTCTCCATCCTGCAAGCCATTTGTAGGTCTTGGTTATTAAAACTTTCTACAGCAGTCTCAATACTCTAGATTCGGGATAAGGAAAACAAAACAAAAAAACCCTTCTTGTTCCTTTAACAAAGCTGGGCCTAAATTCATGCATTGTTCTTAAGAAGAAAACCCAAAAGTCACAAGCCTTTTAAATGACAGATGTATTACGGAAAAATTTCCCCGCCGAGTTTTGATGCTGTGAAAAATCATCTCCCTGAAACCACAGAAAGGAAATGACTTACATTCTTGGAAAATGAAGCCACTAGCAGCTTTCTCCAAAAGCATTCTCTAATCCCCAAACTACACCCTGTGGTAACAGAGGGTATTTGGTGCGAAAACTAAATGTAAGTTGATGCTTAGAAAGCCAGTAAACAAACATAACCAGGTCCAAAGAAAGGAAGGAATCATGCGTGGAAAATCCGGCAAGGTACACTTTCCCTCCACATTCAGAAGTGCCGAGAACCCTTGCGAAGTTTCCTTTCCCCGCTGTGGGCATTACACAGCTCCCGAGGGCAATGCTAGCAAAACAGACTGGCTGTTTAAATAAATAAATAAACAAAACCAAAAAAAAAAAAGTGTAAAGGGGCCAATGAGGTAATAGTTCTTCCAACACTAGCCACACAACTGCACGGTCTGCAAAACTGTGGCAGCTTTTATTTCAACTTTAAATGTGCTTGCTTTGACAGCTTTCCATCTATCCCTGCCTTGAAGAAAGCGCCCCACCACGAGGCTATAAGCCATCCTGGAACTCCAAGTGTTGTTTTAGTCCTGTAGACCTCACAGGGGTGGCCCCCAACTGTCCACATCTCCGCCTTCCCAGAGAAGCGACTAGTGGTCTCCTTCAGGCCGCACCCACCACTCGTGTATCCCTGAGGCCCCCTTCAGGGGCTTCCCACACTAGGCAATTGCGGGGACACCGGACGGCCGCACTGGGGTGCTGCCTTCCCGAAGCCGGCTGCCCGGCCTGCGCACACAACAGGCAATACCGCACAGCGCTCGGGAACACCGGGCTCACGACCGGCCCCAGCTAGTCAGACGGGGCGCCACAAGCAGGCGCCCCACGAACCGAGGTCCCGGACTTCGGGGCGCAGGATCGCAGCGCCCGGTACCCCCAGCTCTGCGCCTCTCTCGCGGCCGCAGCCCCGGCTGCCCTGGGGCCCCGGCCTGGGCGAGCTCCGACTCGCGGAGAGGCGACCTGCCCGCCCGGTGTCCGACGCCCATAGAGCCCGTGAGAGAGAAGAAAGACGCCGAGAGCGGCACCGCCGGGAATCGCACTTTAGACCAGCAGGGGGCACAGCGGCGGCCGGGGTGCACCGTCCCAGGAAAGGGGCCAGCAGGCCCGCGCCCGCTCCCGCGCGTACCTCCAAAGTCGCCAGCGCCAAGCGTTCGCCTCGGAACCGGCGTCTACTCCAGCGGCGCCGAGCCTTCTCGCTGCTCCCAGTCCCTCTGCCGCCGCCAGACCAACGCTGCGGCGGCCCCGCCCCCGCCCCCGCCTTCCGCTCCGCCCCCTCGAGCCCACGCCCACGTCCCGCCTAAGGCACGCCCCTCCCTGCCAGAGGTCCCGCCCCTCCCCGAGTTGGAGACCGAGGCCGAGCAGCGGAAGGAGCCGAGAGCTAGGGATCGTGGCCGCACGTGGAGCGCTGCCCTTCCAGCCCCATTCCGCCCCGGACCTAACCAATAATCCCGCGGAGGGGTGAGGCGACCTGGGGGCGAGGGAATGCCGGGGAGAGCCGTCTCTCCTCTGAGTCCCAGATAACTGAACTAGGCTCAAATGGAATGTATAGAGTGGACTCTCGTTTTGCATGCCTTTTCCCAGCGCGACGGAGGCCAGGGCGCGAGGGTTGACTGTCTGCTCCCCCCTCCGTCTGAATGGTCCACTTCTCCACTCTGCCCCCGCACCTCCAGCCCCCTTGACGCACCCTTGTAGGCCTAGATGGGTTACCTATGGGTGGCTGTTTGACCTGAGTTCCCGCTTGATAATTCGGAACAAACAGGGGCGGCCACTCCGAGAGGAGGCGGTCCCCAGTGGAGGAGTCTTCGTGACTCCTCGGTCCCCTCCAGTCCCGCTCCCACCTCGCCCTCACAGCTTTATCCTGCCTGCAGGATGTGGGCGCGGCCCAAGCCCATCCGCCCCCGCTCAGTCTGTCTCTCCAGGTTGACACAGCCTTTTCCTGTGGCCCTCAAAACGATGTTTGCCCTAGGTGAAGGTGGCCCGCGCGGCGGCGAGCGGTACAGAAGGCAGCAAGAAATGATTTCATTAACTCTAAAGACCCCAGGAGAGCGTGGAGGTTTCCTTGCCCCCTTTAGTAGTCAGGAGAAGTGACGTCCACTCCTCTGTTTTGCACACATCTGGACCTGCAGCGGTGACTGGAAGGTTAGGGAGAGCGACCCCAGCTGGCTGCGAGGATTGCCACCCACAGAACTACACACTGTGTTTGGTGTTCAGTGGGCGTTGCTGCTCTAATGAGGGGGCGGTCGGTGTGTCTGGCTTTGCCAGGTAGGTGCAGAGACCCGATAGAAGCTAGCTTTGAAATTGTCCTTTTCTTTCGATCCGTATATAACTACATAAACTATCTGTTATTGATTGAATAGATGTGCCTTATCTGTGTGATGGTTTGCATAGCCAAAGATGGCCTAGTCTGGGGTTCCTACAGATGCTTGAAACAGTAAGCTTTTGACTTAGGGTTTCTGTTTCTGTGATTAAACACCATGACCAAAACCAAAGGATTTATTTCAGCTTACAACTCTCAGGTCACACTTCATCACCAAAGGACGGCAGTGCAGGAACTCGGTGCAGGAACCCTGTGTCAGGAGCTGATACAAAGGCATGGATGAGTGTTGCTTACTGGCTTGGCTCAGCCTGCTTCCTTATAGTAACCAGGACCATCAACCCAGGGGTGGCACCTCCCCACCCCCAACACATGCACACATGTGAGCTGGGCCCTGGCCCTCTACATCAGGCATCAGTTAAGAAAACGTACCACAGGCCAGTGTGGTCAAGGCATTTTCTTAGTTGAGGTGCCATCCTCTTCCCAAATGACTCTAGCTTGTGTCAAGTTGACATGACAACTAAACAGCACACCCCCTCCAAAGCCTTTTCCTGTTTGGAGAGCATGAATATTAAGGATTGTGATTGCTTACCTTTTCTCTGTCAGTTCCTAAGAAAATCATACTCCAAGCTTGCAGTGGTGGCTCGTTTATGGAAAGCAGAACCGAAGTGTGTTTTAATAAAAGCCTTTTACTGTCATACTAATACAAATTTCTAGTTAACAGTGAATTGTTGATGTCTTGTATTGCATTTAAGGTAGATAATGGGGTCAGAGAGGTGGCTTATCAGTTAAAGGCACTGGTGGCCAAGCCTGACTATAGGACCCACCTGTTGGAAAGAGAAAATCAACTCCTAGACGTTGTCTCTGGCTTCCCCATGAGCATGTGAACAAAATACTTTTTCTCTCACTTTTTATACTAACTCAGGATGGGTACGTGTTGGGTATTGATTGGTAATAATTTAGTTGGTGTTTAATGAGATAAACCAGCGTTTATTGTATATGATAAATGAAAAACATATTACTGTTTTGGAAAAGAGTTCCTACATATGATTTATCTTCAGGTTTCATATATCAAATTTCAGCAGAGGAAAGAAAAAGAAAGCAACATATTGTTAGATTGTGAAACATAACTGCAATTATTGAAACAATTAGGCAACCCAAAGGGCAAAATATTCTAAAAAAGCTTTAAAATGTTTAAGATTGAACTTATTGTCCAGGATTAGATTGTGGCAAGATTTATTATGTGAAGTTTTTTTTCTGAATTATAATGGCCTTATTAACAGTGTGAATGGCACAGTAATTGCACTCTTACATGATACATTTTGTAAACTACTTCAGACTTTGTAAATCAGTTTTATAAACCCCTGCGACAAAATGCCAGAAGAGTTGTCTTGGAAGCAGCATATAATCCACTAAAGATAGAAAGGGGACTGAGAAAGGACGCGTGTCTTATCACGGGATATGGTTTTCAATGTGCTCATTACAGTAGGAGTGCAGCTCTGGGTGCAGTCTGCCTTTCTCCTTTGACGCCGAGATCTGGTTTATTTTCACTGGTACAAGGAGAAGTTCCTCTAATGTGGACTGCTTCACCAGTGACACATTCTGAGCATCTTAAATTGTTGCTTTTTCCAAAGCACTTACATGATACGTTTTTAGTTTTGTTTTCCTCTGGATCTGTTCCATGGGCGTATTAAGTATTCCCAACACTGGGGCATAGGGTGAGCCCTGGGATTCAATGATAACAATTTACTCCTGAATCTGAGAGTAGGTTGGGAGAACAGGCAGAAAATCTAACAGTTGCAACATCCTCAGCAATGAGGAAGAGTTACTCTGGAGGAATAGTGCAAAGGCCTGGAACCATCAGGGAGAAAGAACATTAGACATCTCCTGGGACCTGGGCGGGAAGAAGGAACAGTTTGTTAAGGCAGTCCTTCTCAAGCCTGCAGCTTATTGGGATCATCTGGGGACTTAAAAAAAAAAAAAACTAGAAATGACTGTGTAAGGTCTGGACTATATATACAAACTTGACTTTGGAACATCTTTAATAGCCCCACATTAAGTGAAGAAATCCTGGGTTCAGGGCCTATAGGGTCTCAGGTAGGGTCACAGAATGAGGAAGTATCCAGAAGCATGTCTTGCTTGATAACCATATAGCTTACTCCAGAAAGTCAAGAGGCTTGTAGTATTGGTGTTTGCTTTACAAGATCTTGCTGTGTATTCGCGACTGGCCTCAACTTAGCAATTCTCCTCTTTTCTGTGGCCACTGATTGCTGAGAGAGCAGTCAAGGACTCAAGAGCTGAAACACTACTCTGGGCTTTAAGATCCACTATATGGACACAAATGTCAACCACTATGGATTCCATGCTGTGGGGATCTGTGCTCACTTCCTGTGTGTTTTTCTGTACTGAGCCCTTCTGCTCTCCTCCATCACCTAATGGAATGGGAAGCCTCACTCACAAGACAGCTGTCCTGCTTTCACACGTACTCAGCTGCACGCTAGCTAGCTGTAGTGTCCCTTCGGCTAGCCCTGCTGCTGCCACTGAGTCTGGCAACAACTGGAGCTCACAGCCATCCTCCATCCTGGGTCACAGCTTTGCAAGAAGGAAGGGCTGGGCGGGGGCCTCCTGGCCTTACCTATGGGGCCTTTCTTCTCACTCTGTAGTATTTGAATATTCTAGACTTCCAGGACTGAGATTGTGATGTTTGTGGGAAAACGAACCATGCAGACCGTGTGTGCTATCTCTTGTACGTGCTGTTTAAAATAGTCTTTGTCCTTCGATAATCAAGATGTCCCACTGCTAAAGTTTTTCTCAAATATTAATAAGCAAAGGCAAGCACGGTTTGCATGCCTATAATTCCAGCACTTAGGAGACTGAGGCAGGAGGGCAGGAGGGCAACTGAGCTCAGGGTCTGCAGGCTATGTAGCTAGACCCAGCCTCCAACCCAACCTGATGAGCAAGTGAGAATTTAATAACATTGTTTTTCAGTTCTGTGCTGCTAAACTGGATAAAGGTACGTCTTTTGAAGTAGATGGCTCAATAGCATTAATCCTTTTAATTAATCATTGAATGGTACAGGTACACAGTATGTTCTGTTCTCTAAGATCATGTGGCTGGAGAGAGAGAAAGTGTGTGTGCCTGTGTGTGTGAATCTGTGTGAGTGTGTGTATGTGAGTCTGTGTGAATCTCTGTGTGTTTGTGTCTCTGTGTGTGTCTGTGTGTGTGTGAGTCTGTGTGTGTCTGTGTATGTGAGTCTGTGTGTGTGTGAATCTGTGTGTGTGTGTCTGTGTGTGAGTCTCTCTCCCTCTCCCTCTCCCTCTCCCTCTCTGTGTGTGTGTGTGTGTGTGTGTGTGTGTGTGTGTGTGTGTGTGTTGCAGCTTTCTGGACCCCAGTATAACAAGAAAATATGTCATTATCAGGAGCATAAGGGAAGCTCAGAGCTTAAAATCTAAATGGTGAATGAATTTTACTGAGCATAGACAAGTCACTTTTACAACATACAAATCACCTGTATTTAAATTTCTGGGTAGGTGCTCCTGGTAGAATAATTAGAATAATAATTAATCCATTTTCTTGACCTAATCATTAAAATCTCTTTTAGTGTTTTTATTTTGCAGAATGCAATGATGAAGCTGCTGAGATCAGTAAAAAGGATGTTTTAAACATTAGGGTATGAGAGCCTGCAGGGAAGTGCCACACTATTTAAATGTCTGTGGGCTATAATTTGTCTTTTATCAGCTACAAAGACATTTAAAACCTTAGAATAGGACTTCAATAATTTCATTTACGGTGGATTTTAGTTTGCTTTAAAAATGAATCTCAATAATTACCAAAATGGAAAACGAGCTTAATCTCCATGACCTTCAGCCACTGTGATAAATAGTCTTTAATTTTGGAAAAGTTTTCTTTAAAAGCCAGTATGTCGAATTATTGGCTTATCTTTTAGACCAGAACCAAAATTTCAGCATTAAAATTAATTATTCAAAAACTTGAAGTACATAATAGAAGAAAAACTAAAGCTTTTCTTCACTATATGGAACTGATCTTAACTGTTCACATATTATTCTGGTATATAGAAAGTGTTTGTGCAGCAATATAGTACAGTGCTTACTATAGCATAGTAGTATAGTACAGTATAGTGCCTATTATAGCATAGTGCTATAGTATAGTATAGTGCTTATTATAGCATAGTGCTATAGTATAGTATAGTGCCTATTATAGCATAGTGCTATAGTATAGTATAGTGCCTATTATAGCATAGTGCTATAGTATAGTATAGTGCCTATTATAGCATAGTGCTATAGTATAGTATAGTGCCTATTATAGCATAGTGCTATAGTATAGTATAGTGCCTATTATAGCATAGTGCTATAGTATAGTATAGTGCCTATTATAGCATAGTGCTATAGTATAGTATAGTGCTTATTATAGCAGGTACAATTTGGAAAATGCTCACATAGTTCATTTTTACCATAATTTAATTCTAAACAATAAAATCAATTTTAAAAATAATTTTTAGCACAACTTAATTCTAAATAAAATCAATCTTAAGAATATTTTAAAAACTTATTTATAATATTTTGTTTTTTTGGTTTTCTATACACATATATGTATTCCTTACATCAAAATGCATAAAGCCAGCTGGGCGATGGTGGCACACGCCTTTAATCCCAGCACTCGGGAGGCAGAGGCAGGCAGATCTCTGTGAGTTCGAGGCCAGGCTGGACCGACAGCCTCCAAAACAATACAGAGAAACCTCGTCTTGTAAAACCAAAAAAAATAAATGCATAAAGCCTGAGGCAGCTGGGATGGCACATGGTTTGTGTGGTTGGTCGTATACTACATATATGGGATATAGAAGACAGCATGTTTGGTTGGTTGTGTACAGCAAGTACAGGCTATAGAAGACAGTCTATACAGAAAAGCCTATGGTTGGTTTTATTATACG